AACAAAAAATCCATTAACAAATACACAAATTATGTATTACATATTTTTTTAATTGCTAATTTTTCGGTCACTGCATTATCATTACAAAACTTATAAAAATTCAAGAATGAAAAAAGTCACTCGTGAGAATGAAACAAATTTCGTTTTGAAAATGAATGTCAAAAACTGAAGGAGCCCTGAAATAAAGTATGTTTTCTTATGAACTTCAAACAATTTCCTTCTCATGTTTGGGCAACATTCACAAATGGATATCAAGATTAACACTAATAACAAATAACTCACCAATCGGCTATTCGCTCCACCAACCACATCATTTGGTGTATAAGTCTGTGCGATTGCTAAACCACTCAGTGCATAGCACGTATGATACAAATCTCTTACTCTTAAACAAAATTACCATTCTTATCCGACTAAATCATTCAAAAGCACAAGAATGAAAGATAGAAACAATAATAAGACACTTCTCACTGACTTCCAACTGTCAATTTTTTTCGCTTATAGAAAGCCGGATATCACTTTGAATTATGTAAGTTTGTTGAAGTAAAGAAATTCAACTGAAGCAAAAATTGTCGCCTTTTGACGCCTTCACATCATCAGTCATCATACTAATCGTTCAGATTCACGGTTAAATTTCACATTTTTTTCTTCTACTACGAGTTCAATTCCGATATAAACACGCATTGAACGTAAAACCTATTATATCGTTAATATCGTTCTGTGTAAAAGTTTGACTACACCGTTTTTTCAACAACTCACTTCAAATTCAAATAATACAAAACAAATTCATCTATCTGCAAATGTGATATACAAAACAAAATGCAAAACGAACTTATCGGGCTTATCCCTAAATCCTCCGTTCTCTTGATCTTGTGCCATCACCAGAACAAATTCCTGCAGCGCTTTCGCATCGAATGGCTCTTCGTAGGTATCGCTTGTTGAACGTTTTCCTAACTCAACTTGCATCATCGGGAAGACGGCCGCTTGCCAAAAGCTATAACAACTATCCACAAGTTTATTCGTACGACCCTGAAAATGACAACAAATACAAGTATTCATAAACCATTATCATAACCATCACATATCGACATATAACTTTAACTTTCTCACAGAACATCGCGATGAAAGTCTCGAA